TCACAACCTCCCTGGGAAAACTATTCCATTGCCTCACCACCCTCACAGGAAAGAATTTCCTCCTTATACCCAATCTAAACTTCCCCTGTTTAAGTTTTAACCCATTACCCCTTGTCCTGTCACTACAATCTCTAATGAGGAGCCCCTCCCCAGCATCCTTATAGGCCCCCTTCAGATACTGGAAGGCTGCTATGAGGTCTCCACGCAGCCTTCTCTTCTCCAGGCTGAACAGCCCCAACTTCCTCAGCCTGTCTCCATATGGGAGGTGCTGCAGTTCCCTGATCATCTTCATGGCCCTCCCTTGGACTTGTTCCTACAGTTCCATGTCCTTTTTATGTTGAGGACACCAGAACTGCACACAATACTCCAGGTGAGGTCTCACAAGAGCAGAATAGAGGGGCAGGATCACCTCCTTCGACCTGCTGGTCATGCTCCTACTGATGCAGCCTTTTGATGCTCGTTTTGATAATCATTCTGCAACAATCACCAAAAAATGCTTACCATACCACTCTTATTACTTCACTTTGACAACTGAACTGTAGCTTAAATTTTACCCTGTTTTTCCCCTCTTGCACTGCCTAAAACCAAGCTCACTAATATTTAGTCTTATTTGAAATTCAAAATATGAAAAGAAAAATATTCAGAAACCTGAAGTGAGAGTAAAAGTGCATTGCCTGAGCACAAGAACACATCCAAAGCCACTACAAAAGCAACGTGTCTAATTGCACACAACAAACACAATGAGCTCCTCTTGCTACATCTACCTGGGAAGAAGAGAGCAGAGAATATTCCTGCTCACTTCTTAGAGAATTCCTTGAGTAGACGCATTGCTTTTTCTTCTCTTTTGTGGATGGATTTAAGAAAACACAGCAGATGGCCTTTGGAACTGGAAGCATCTATGGAGTTTAACAGTCCACCTATCAATTTCTGACCCCACAGCACAGAAACAGAAGCACAGGATTATTCTTTATACCCGATATGTTCCAGCTGAGAAGACTTATTTGCATGCCTGCATAATGGCATAGGGATACCTGAAAATAGCCATTGTTATTTTTTTTTTTTTTATAATAACTGATCTTTTATTTAGAGAACTGAAAATTATATACTTTTAGGACTACAAGCTCTGCATGATAAGAAACAAACAGTTGCATTTTTCCAAAGGGAAGAGAAAGTTACTGTGTCCTACAATGAATAAAGAACCCAGCTGTTAAGATGAGGGATAATTTAATCCTTTCTTGATTAATTATTTTAAAACCTTAGGAGAGAATGGGTGGCAGACTGATTTGCAGCAGGGGTGACTTCAAAAACCTGTGTTACCCTCTCTCTCTCTCTGTAACACTGCTAGGAGCTCCTTTCCTGCACCCACCCAACCCAGCGGCTTTACTACTTGTTTAACAATGACCCTGGCTCTGATATGGCCCACCTGTATCACCTTGACGCAGGTGGCTAAAACAGACCAGTGAGAAAATCTGTAGAGATACAGGAAGGGTGAAATTACAGCCAGAGGAAAAGCTTTTTTGGGATGGAATTGCTGTCAGTTTTGTGATTCAAAGAGGAAAGCACCAGCACAGAAAGAAGTGCTGTGTCTGGCTGGGATGGAAGTAGCCCTTTACAGTGCTGTGCCTTGCTTTTTGTGGCTAAAACACTGGTGTTCTGGCTGTTGCTGAAAAGTGTTAAAGCTTTCTCTCTCCTCCTAACAAGGATGCACAAGAAGCTGTGATGGGGGACAGTGAGGGCAGCTGACCCAAGCTGACCTAAGGGATATCTCTGACCATATGACATTGTGCTCACCATTAAAAGTTTAGGGAAGGAAGAGGGAGGATATTTGTGGTTGTGGTGCTTGTCTCCCCAAGCAAGTCTTACATGTGCTGATGTCTTGCTTCCCAGGAAGTCTATGCCAGTTAAGCCTCTCTCAATTTAAGGGAAAAAATAAAAAAAATAAAAAAGCTTCATCTATCTAGGGTATAGCTGAGGGAACAACACTTCCTTGGGATATAAGAGCATGGCTCCAGATGCACTGCCTTGAGACAGACCCCAGCTTTTCTGTCACCCACATTGCATAGAAGTCCCCTGGGACACAGCTACAGGATACTCCACAGTGAGTCCTATTTTTTTCTGAGAGTTCATTGAATATGTAAATGAATATTCATTCAAACAGAAAAATGAATCTTGATTTCCCACTTCATGGGCAACTACTGTAAAAAGCAGGAAAGAATCATGTCTCTCTCTACTGCTCCAGCTTTTCCTTTACAGATAAATAATTAGAAAGTAATTTTAGAAAGCTTTATCAGAATATTCCTACCAGTTCCAAGTCATTAGCCTTCCTCCCCACTCCAGACTTCAGTTTGTAACTATTCCTGTCTCTCTAGTTTACTTGCTTATAGCAGATCCATTTAACCTCCTGAGCTCACACAAAGATTGGAGGTGAAGAAGGGGGGTGAAAGAGCTTTTACAAAGGTAATGGCAGAAGAAAAAAATATTGCAGCTGAAATTTTAAAAGCTTTCTACAGATTTGGAAGCTCAAATCCCTGTTAATTTTTACAGCATCTTCTGGAAAATTTTAATGTAAACTCTTTGCAAAAGCACCACCTAATTCTGTAGTTGTACAGTTAATGAGGCTCATAAGAGACTCAGTACTGAGATGAACAAGGAAATTAACTAGAATTTACTTCTTCATTTATCCATATATTTTCTGTATAAGCTATGTACATTTAAGTCTGAACATAAATTTCCATTTTCCCTTTTACAGATTGTAAACTTAAGCAGAAGAATATATTAAGTCATTTTCTGTAGACTACATAGTAGGACTGTAAAAAGATAAAACCAGGAAATTGATGGCAATCAGCTTCATGGCGATGAAACAGTTACACCACAATATAAATGATGTGATTTTAATAAATTACATTTGAAGGTACAATAATGGACTAACAACAGCTTTCCTCTCAAGATATTTCAGACATTATTGGCAATACTTATTGGTAAAAGATACTGGTAAAATATGAACATATCTTCATACTTATGACTTATAATGCAAGTGACATTGACACCACCATTTAACATTATTAAAATTGATATGCTAATGAATCAAAGTGCTATTCTCCACTTTGAAAATAAATTAAATTACATTTTAATCTTCTTAATTTACTTTTGTACTTAGCATTTGATATAAGTATTTACCAGTAAGTCAATAGTATACTACTGCCCGATTTTATTTTCCAAGAAACCTTTATCATTTTCTCCAATAAGCAAACAGAAAAACTTCTTTTTTGCATTGATACAGCTATCAGTCACCTTAAAAATAACCAGTAATAGATGCTTTGTAATATATCCATGATCACCTCATGGGAAACAGCTGCTTCCAGCAGGCCATGAGGAACTAAGTCTTCTCTTGGAAAGATCTGGGCTAATCAGTCTTTTGGACGTCACATCTATGATGCTACACTCTGTGGATGAACATTAGGAGCCACACTGTCAGCTACCACAATAACAAATTACAGTTGAGTTATTGTCCTGGGTTCAGCAGTAGCAGTCATTTTTCTCCTTAGTAGCTGGTGCAGCACTGTGTTTTGACTTTCGGCCTGGGAACAGAGCTGATAACACTGATATTTTAGTCTGACCAAGGACTTTGTGAGGCTCATATTCTGCCAGGGAGGAGGGAAGGCTGGGAGGAAACAGAGACAGGACACCTGACCCAAACTGACCAAAGAGGTATTCCATACCACAGCATGTCATGCCCAGGATGTAACTGGGAGTTACCCGGAAGGGCTGGGAGACTGCGGGGTTGGACGAGGTATTGGTCAGTGCTTGGTTAGGCTGGTGGGGTGAGTTATCAGTTGGCAGGTGCTGAGGTGTTGTATTCTCTTCTCTTGTTATTTCCTTTATCATGGTTATTATTGGTGGTAGCAGCAGTGATTTGTGTTATACCTTAGTTACTAAACTGTTCTTATCTCAACCTGTGGGAGTTGCATTCTTTTTGATTCTGCTCTCTGTCCCTCCGGGAGTAGGGGGAGGGCAAGAAGGGGGGGAGTGAATGAACGAGCTGCCTGACTGGGTTTAAACCACACCAGTTATGTAATCAGTACTGTACATCCAACTAATGGCCATTCCTTGATGAGATTCAAATTTGACAAGACTTGTTAGGATCCTAACAGCTGGGCAACAGAGGAATTTGCTTATCCGACTCCTTTCAGCAAATCTACCTTGTCACCGTACAATTTTTTGATCTTGTGTATCAGTGTAATCTTTACTAATTTCCCATAATGGAGCCCCATATCTTCTTCAGAGTTCATCTTCCATTAATGTAAAAATTAATCTGTGAAGTAATAACCAGTCTTGAGGATATTATGGATAATATCAAAGGAAATTTTAATCAAAATATAAAGACTGAATTTTAGTACCTTTTGCAAGCCTTTTTTACGCTGAAAAAAGTCACATCCACGCTATAAAAAGACTTTCATATACTTCTAAAAAAGTCCACATTTATGTGTTAGTCTCACATGTGCTTTGCTCCCATGCTCACTAAAAGTCACGCCTATGACAGTATGTAATTCCCCATGCACCTAAAATAGTCCTTTGCTACATCTGAAAGTTGGACTGAATTAAAATGTTAGAAAATCCTATGCACACAGTTTTTTGTTACACATCCTTTTTCTTCTTATCCTTTGTCCTGACCTATGTACAGCCTTTCTTGCAATAAAGTCTGAGTTACCTGTACAGCTACACTCACCTATTTACTAAGATACATACTGCATGAAAGCGGTAGTTAGACCAGGGAGAAGAAGCATCTGCAACAGCCTGCTGTGTCGACATTGCATTTCTAACTGATGTGACCTGCATTATTGAAACACTGAACAAGAGTATAACTTGTAAGTAGCTCTCTTCTGCAAGTCTTCCAGCAAAATGACAGGCCATATTTTAATAACATTTCAGCTCTAAAAAAAGCATTCGAGCAAATGTCAGAAGCCCTATTTCAGCAAAGATCTGAATACATCTGAATCTCTTTTTGACTGCATCAATATCAGCACACATTAATTATCCTTTGCATGGATTCCGTGTGTTATTTGAAACATCTTCTATGAAGGCCACATCAGAAACTCAGTATTCAGGTAAATACTGGAGTTATTTCACCAGAAACATCCCCACCTCACCTCAAGGCACTTGGGTAAACTTGTCAATTTTTTCTTTTTCTGATAAGAAGTATGTGCTTAACAATAGCACTGCCATTACAGTGAGGAGTGCTATCATGTCAGTTCCTGCATTCTCCATGCTCCAAATCTATCAATCAGAGATGTCAGGTCTGTCACACAAATTGGGACGGAATTGAATTGGTCTGTGTTTATGAAACACAGACTTTGATATTACCCAGCTGTTCCAGTGTTATGTTTGAAAGCAAATGAATTATAAAGGAAAAGAAAAAAAATTAATCTTATTTAACAGATTATTTTTTTTAACTTCTATTACAACACCTAGGAAAAAAGGGAGTGTAGAATATTTCACAATGTATTTCAAGATGAACTAGGACAACTTTAAAGAATTAAGCTCAGGAAGCACCAATTTTTAAAACATATCGGTATGCCTTTTGGGGGCAGTGAGATTCTACTAAGAGTAACCTAAGAAAAGTTCATGCTACACTGCACATTAAGAAACAGTATCTTGACACTAATTGTGATAGTCCCCAAGTCATTTGAAAACCAGAGCACTTTGTTAATACAACAGAAAAACTTAATGTCCAACAATTAAATAATATAGACTAATTCACTTTTGTGCAATTTCACAGACTGCAAGCGCAGTTTATCATTACTCTATCACCCTCAGCCCACATGAAAATACCACATCTCATCAAAGTATATTACTGAGAATAAAAACAAGACATTTGAAGAATGGAAGAAAAAAATCACTAATACATAATTTTCATAAACAGACATAGCTAGAATAAAGCCCAGAAATACTGAATCACATGACCAATGTCACACAGGAAGCCTATGGCAAATTTGAGACCTTAACACAGACATGGCAAACCCCAGTTTGCCATACCACATAAAACTGTCCTATCTTTAAGTTTATACCTGTGTAGATCTTGAGAGAAGTAGTTTAAGTAGAAATGTCAAAAATACTTATTAAGTTGATCAGCCTGGACAGTATTATAGATATTCGCTTGAATATTTGATTTTCGTAGTTTTAAAACACCTGTTTCAAGGTACTATTTTCTCAGTAACTGATCACAACTGGAACCTGTTCATAAAATGGTTTTGTTAATTAAGTGTGGATTAAAAAAAATAAAATCGTATGTTTCTCAGCCTGTCTGAACTGATACTGCTAACTCCATGTTGAAATAGGCAGGCAGAAAGAACTGCTTGTACTTGTTATTCACTGGGAAAAAGCAAAGTATGCTAACTTGTGCCAAATATTTTTAAGTGTTATGAATTTACATCAGTTCATAAGTATATGATTTTGAACACTGAATTTTAAAGTGGGTTCACTGAATTTTAAAATGGGTTATTTTTTTTTTCCCTGTTCCTTAAAACGCTTTCTTCCCAGTTAAAAAAAAAGAAAAAATATAAAAAATATCATGATATCATGTCTGGAAATGAAAATACAAGAGGATTACTTTTACAATCCAGTATGCATGACATATCTCCATGATGAAAGCTGCAAATTGCTGTTTGCTTATGCCAAAATTTTTCATTAATAGACAATGATTTACAGGCCTTGTCTGTGAGCAACACCAGTTCTGATAATTCTGGGATAGAAGCATCACGTAAATGGAGTGACAGATACCGAGATGTTCTTTGTTTCTCATCCTGTTTTATCTCAAAAATGAAGTTCTTTTTATCTTGCTTTACCACACACACACAAAAAAAAAGTCTACTGCTTACTCTACAATTCCTTCTGCAACCAGTATCAAAGTATGACAATTATATGAAAAGATTCAGCATTCTGCAATACATCCATACGCACAAAACAAACCTGGCATTTAGCAGACAACTTTGCTGTCAACATTAAAAAGGCAAAAACCAGTGTGGATAATGGGTGAACTAAATAAGGCACATACTGGGTACCCAAAACACCTACAGAGCCAAAGGGAAAACCCTGGACTCAAGCCAAACAAATAATTACAATATGCACTCAAAATCACTAACTGGACAACGGATATGACCTGTGACTGGGTTAAGACAAGTTTTGAATCCAGAGAAGCATATTGCACAACAGTGATTTTACAAAAAAAATGTTTAAAATGTTTATTTTTTTTTTACTACTATATGAACTCTGTATAGAAAAAAAATTTCTAGGTAAGTATGGACAATACCATCCCCAAAGAAAAGCACTATTATATAACTGAGATTTTCTGTATCCTTTTCTTTTAGTATTTTAGTTTCAGTTATTATAAATGCAGGTCTTAAAGAAAAATTTGCAGTCACACATAATAGAAACTTTCTGTGTTTTTAATAGTGTGAATAATCCCAAACTTCACCTCACTTTCTCGGAAAGAGAGAGGGCAGGCAGCAAACCTTTCTGCATGTAGCTTACATTACACAACATGGGAACTGTATTATGCCAGCTGTTTCTTCTCAGGAATGAATCAATACTGGCAGATGGGTCAGACTAATATAGTGAGATGTTTATTCTACTGTCTGTCATTCTTCTCTCTACCCTAATGCAGCCAAACTGTTGAAAATCTGGTGAATCACAGCCAACACAGCGAACATTATCTGTGAGGCTGATGTTGTCACCAGTCAACACCAAGGAAGGTGCTAAAGTAGCACTGCTCACCCTGGAAGGTGCCTTCAGCTGTGCCACTCTCTCATAGCCACACCTACACAGTCTAAAGAAGCTTCCGTTTCATTTTCAGATGATAGAGTTTCTGAGATTGTAAGTTAAAGCAAATGAAGTTGGCACTTGGGTTAAATCAGAGAACAGAATGTTATCTTTTCAATTACCTTTTTTAAAAAAAAATGCATGTTAATGTCAGAGGAATACCTATTTTATTCCCATCTTATAAAATACTGTGGGGTACCCTGATCCTACAAGGGTGACAGAGACAGCAACCCCAGATGTTTCCTAATTTGTAATGTTAAAAGTTTATTAACTTCTGTTTCCACAGCTCCACAGTAAACAGGCATGGTACTGTTTGCCAGATAATCTTCTCCCTGCAGAAGTTTGTTGCTGTAGCAACATGTTAGAAGAACCAGGATGCCAAAGTGGCCACGCTGTACGTGCATGCAATGGAACAGTGGTTCCAGGAGAAAAAAGTGGAAACAAAAAAGCAAATCCATCTGCAGCACTGCTGAATGATGAATGCTGGAGTATTTCTACAGTTATAATACTGTTTATATAGTTAAATCCACAAAGAATGAGTCTCTTTGTATAAGCAAGAACATCAGAAGACCTTACATAAATGGGAATTGGAGTAAGTGCATTTTTTTTCCTTTCTGTTTTTTCCCCTGCTAAAAATATAGTCCTGAATCCATCAGAGATTACCTAAACATGAATTTATCACCCTGATGACTAATTTTTAAGCCAGTTGGCACCTAGATGCTCCTTGCAGCCAGGTCTTAATGTGACCTTGGATATGTCATAGTTATAGCATGGTTCCAATACTAAGTTGTAATGTTTGAGTATTTATTAGAACTATTTTCTGTTAATAATGAAGTACCAGGTTAATTTGTACATTAATAAATTAAACATAGCAAAAGGATGGTTAAGTGCTGATAAATAGGATCAGTATAATTCATATGACAAAACCCATATCCTTCATGTAATAGTATAGTTACAAATTCGTATTTTTACATTTATCAAATCTAGTAAACTTATACACTAAAGGCTGTCTAAAACAGTGTCTCCTTACAACTGTTGGCAGCAGTCTTGGCTTTGGAAACTGCACAACCTCATTTCCTTGCCTCTCTCCTTCAATTCACACATGCAGGGGTTTTGTGGGTATATTTATTCTATAGAATCATAGAATAGTTAGGGTTGGAAAGGACCTTAAGATCATCTAGTTCCAACCCCCCTGCCATGGGCAGGTACACCTCACACTAAACTATATCACCCAAGGCCTCGTCCAACCTGGTCTTGAACAATGCCAGGGATGGAGCATTCACAACCTCCCTGGGCAACCCATTCCAGTGCCTCACCACCTTAACAGGAAAGAATTTCCTCCTTATATCCAATCTAAACTTCCCCTGTTTAAGTTTTAACCCGTTACCCCTTGTCCTATCACTACAGTCCCTAAGGAAGAGTCCCTCTCCAGCATCCCTATAGGCCCCCTTCAGATACTGGAAGGCTGCTATGAGGTCTCCACGCAGCCTTTTCTTCTTCAGGCTGAGCAGCCCCAGCTTCCTCAGCCTATCTCCATATGGGAGGTGCTGCAGTCCCCTGATCATCCTTGTGGCCCTTCTCTGGACTTGTTCCTACAGTTCCATGTTCTTTTTATGTTGAGGACACCAGAACTGCACACAATACTCCAGGTGAGGTCTCACAAGAGCAGAGTAGAGGGGCAGGATCTCCTCCTTCGACCTGCTGGTCACACTCCTTTTGATGCAGCCCAGGATACGGTTGGCTTTCTGGGCTGCGAGAGCACACAGCCTGCATTTGGGTTATCTCAGGTCTCTCCCACTGACCATGAGAGTAAAGAGATGTGCTTACATTTTCACATATACATACTTATGCACACATACATACTTCTGAAATCATATTCTCTGTGAGCATATATGTACACACTGTATACGTAACACGTATGGAGTATTATTCACATGTGTGAGGAATGGAAACAGGTTCCCCCTGAGCCTTCTCTATGCTACACATTCCCAGGTTTCTCAGCCTTTCCTCATGGCAGAGATGCTGTAGTCCCTTTATCACCTTGGTAAGCCTTCACTAGATACTCTCCAGTCTCTCTTGTACTGGGGAGCCCAGAACTGGTCCCAGCATTCATGGTGTGGCCTCACCAGTGCTCAGGAGATTGACGTAGTCAATAATTTGTGTAAGGTGACCCAGGATACCATTAGCCTTCACTGTGGCAAGGGCCCATTGCTGGCTCATGGTTAATGATAATTAGCAGATGTATACATAATTAATACCTTTATACAGATCAGAAACAAACCAAAAAAGAACCAAACCCCCAAAACAAAACAACCCCCAAAACAAACAAACCCCACCCAGGAATTTCAAATTGAAAAATAAGCAAACAAAACAAAACAAAAAACCCAAACCAAAAGTAAGGTTTTAATCCAAAACCTGACTCCCAACATATTGCTGCTATTCTGTTCTTTATGGCACTTCCTTCCAAACAACAGAACAGACTTAAATCTTTTCTGCCTGGAATTCAGCAAAAAAGGGTTCTTTCTTGCTCAGAACACTTTTCTCCATTTGTTTAATCAATAAATTCATTTTATGCAACAAAACACAATCTGTACTTTTAGTCAAGCTGATTTATGTCCCTGCTTTTAATTATAATCAGATAAACAATCATAACCAGTGAAAGTCAGAAGAGGTATAAAAGACAGACTAATTTGACTCATTTTCTTCCAAAATGAAAATGTTGTCTTTCCTAGCTTATCTTGCATTGTACAAGCACCAACATCTGTACATCTAGTAAATATTTTCATGTCAATATTTTAGTAACATTAAAATCCTGTTTAATTATAACGGCACAGATCAGGTTTTTCCCTGAATTGCATTAGTGAATTGCATTGAAAATGCTTCTCAAACATCACTGCCAAATGGCTTGTTCAAGTCTCCACAGAAAGGGCACAGCTCACTGAGAAACAGTGTCAGATCTTTGCTGTCAAAATTATCCTCAGGGGACACATTTTACCATCTCATAATGTTTCTAAACCTTTTCAAACACTTCTGTGGTCTCATAAAGATTTCCCTTGATACTCTGTAAACAAAAGGTCAGATCTGCATTTACCCAGGTTCCACAGTTACAAGAGATTTATCATTGCATTATCTGAAGATATTGCATGGGCAAGCAAGCTGTATTTCATTTCAAACAGCTGACGCCCCTAGCTCTTACTCGGCCTTTTTTGGTGGGTTTCTGTTTTTTGGTTTTTTTTTCCTCTTAGCACAACTGAAAACAAGGCTCAAAAGAACATTTTAGTTTCTTTTCTAGAGCACCTAAACTGTTCAATTAAAAAAGTATGATTCATGTAAAGAAGCAAGAAATGTTGACTCTTTTGTTAGGTTTGGCTGATGAGCAGTCTTAAAGTAAACTAGTTATCCAGAGATGCATTTTTGGCACAGAAATTAGTCCTGATTATCAAGCATTGAAGGAGCAGAAACAGTTTAAACAGTGTGGATAAGCTTTACAAGGTAAGAGATAGAAGTTATTCTAAATCAAATAGCAAAGAAACAATATTTGTCCATTCCCATTTGTTTACTTTGGGCGCTTGATGGAACTTTCTATGCAGTTTGTTTTCTCTGCAGTGTCAATTCTCTCCTCTGTCTCTACTGTCAGCCAGCACCAGACAGAAGCGGAGGACCAAGCGCTATTTTTAAGTTTTTCTTTCCATCCCTCTCCCCACTTCCCTTAATTGGCTAGGTTCAGGTCCATGTTTTCCCTTTAAGCTAGAAATTGCCTGAGCTCTTAGTGTTAGGTTTTAGCAACAGATGGTACACTTCCCTCTGAGTTAATTCTGAACCAGTATCTCAGGGTTGAGATTGCTAGAGTTGTTATCTTTCAGCAGAGATCCTGATTTTATAATCATTACCAATCCAAAGCCTACTTCAAAGAAAGAGTTGTTAAGCTCTGCTGTGGTATTATTCTATGTCAAACAGCTGTTTCAATCCGTCTAAGAGAGAGATGCTACTGGAATGCTGAAGATGCAATAGTGAAATAGGCTGTTAAATGAAGAGTTATTCAATATTTGCTACTGAATAAAATATCCTCTCCTATTCTTTCTCCCCAAGAACACCCATGTTTCTGCAAGTTCCTGCTAATAGGAATGAAACAGCTTTCCTAAACCTGGAGTGTAGGCAAAAGTAATAAAATAAAATTTAAATTAAACCTCCCCAGAATGGCAACTCATTTAATGGGGAAAAACAGGAAAGAAAACTGAATTAAAAAAAAAAAAAACAACCAAAAAAACAACCCCAACATCTTTGATCAACTGTGAGGGCAAAGCTGGAAAAATGGTTAAAATTATTTCATAATGTTAAAAGGAGAACAGGAGACAGTCCTTGGACAGTAAAAATGGGGAGAGTGGCCCAAGGAATCAAGGGAAGCCTAAGAAGATGAGTAAAACAGTGAAAGAAGGAGTGTGGCAATGGGAAGGGCAAAGAACACAAAATCGTCTGGTCAGGAAAATGCTACTAGACTGATCTGTGAAATCAAGATCTGATGTTAGGAAATTCAATAAACTATAGAGAGATGTTGGGAATTTAGCAGATGGGCACAATAAATACATAGTTTCAATTTAACATGTTCTTACAATAACTCTAGGATTAGCACCATGGGTCATGAATCTATTAAAAATATGGAAATATAGGGAAAATGAAAGGAAATGAGCTTGGCTCCTGGTATTCTTGATTCCTTGCATGAAGAGCAAAATTCAACTGAAATGTTTCCTGGGGCAGAGAAAGATTAAAAGAAAATTAATGGTACTCTATGGGCACAAATAATGTTTCATAGGGTTTGTCTGTGGTTATCGTAGCTGAAGGCTAAATAAAACATGAAGTTTGAGTGAAACTTTGAATCATATGATACTCAGTTGCTCTTCTTGTTGCCTAAATAAAGTCCATTGCACCAATAAGTAAAGCACTGAAATTGTAATGAGTCCTACTGTTTTGGCCTCTGACCAAAATCTTTATAGTATCTTTAGGTATCAAAAGGTTAGATAACTTGTTTGTTTAGTTGTTTGAGTTTTTTCACTCAAGGGATGCTGTGGATACTTAATTTGCACAGATCTTTTACACAGCAGCCTCTGAATTCTCTCAAAGGCAACCTCATTTGTCTTTCAGCTACTGCCTTCTCAGCATATTGACCTTTATCCTTATTTATGCCCAATACTTTCAAAGAAACGTAATGTTATGCAGAATTTGTTTTTTAAGGGACCCTTCAATTTGTCTGCAAGTAGGACATTTCTTTACAGTAATTTGAAATAAAAAATCAACTACTTACTCCCATTAATTAGATCTGTGGAACAAATGGGAATTATTAAAACATGTATGGCATGAAGGTTATCCTTTATGCTAAACATCATTTTTGATCTCATTTACTCCTTTCAAACTCAAATTAACTACTGAATTAAGCAGGAGTTCTCCTCCTCTTCATTCTTCTCCCTTCCCTGTTCATAAATCCTGTAACTTAAGGGCCATTACAGTATGAAATCTTAAATTAAATGGTTTTCATTACTTTTCTGTACACCCTATCATAGTACTGCTGAATAAGGTTTGATCCTTTTCAGAAGATCTCCCT